TTTTTTTTTTTTTTTTTTTTTTTTTATTTTTTTTTTTTTTTTTTTTTTGTGTGTGTTGTTTTTTGATTACTTGTTCCTTTCATTGTTTCCTGTGAATTGATTTTGGTTTGTATTGTTTTTGTTGGCAGGGGTTCGTTTAAGCACATCAATTGATGACAGTTTTTTTGCCTTTCCTAGCCAGCCCTGTTCAACTTTTTCTGTTCTTTGTTGAAAGATTTAAAATAAAAAATAAATGAAAACTTTTTTGGTTCATGGTGTCGGGTATAATGACAATAGTGTGGTTGTTCATCTAGATCCTGCCCACGATAGGCTTCAAATAATATTACTATACTTTTCAGACGAATTAATGGATTATTGTATTGATAAGACCACAAATAGTATTGTTATCAATCATCATTATTTTTTATCTACTCTTTAGAGAGAACTCGGTGACAAGAATTCTGACGGTATTGATAAAGTTCGCCAGCTTCTACCTGTTCCAAAGAAATTTGTTGAAGTTATAACATGTGAACCAACAGGGTGTGTAATGGATACAAGAGGAAACAAGATCACTGGTTTTGAGATCAATAAAAAGCAGGTAAATGATAGAAACATGGTAAATTTTCATCTTGTGTTTCTGTTCTGTAGTGTGATATATGGTTCTGTAGTGTGATATATGGAGGTGGGTAAATTCATATTCATAGCTTTATTTAACTCAAATAAGAGACCGATAGGTAACAAGGGAACGGGTCCCTGTACAAAGTACATATAATGATTGTTACAAAGATGTTTCTGTTGTGTAGTTTGACATATAGATATGGGAAAATGATTGTTATAAAGATTATTCAGTTCTAATATTGAAACATTAAATAATATAAGAACATTGGTGTGCAAATTCTTTGACAGCAACATGAGTTCAAGATTGTTCATGATACTTCACAAAATAGATGTTTAATGTTCCTTAAGCCTAAAACATAAAATATAAAACTGGCGTAACTGGCTCCAAAAAACGGAATATAGGTAAATTTTTTTTTTCTGCCACAATAATTAGCAAAGGCCTTGAAATCAGGGGTGGCGCCAGTGGGAGGGAGGAATCTGGGGGCGTGCTTGGATGTCAGGGAGATCTAGCGCTTCCCCACAATTTGTTGGAGAGAAAATTATAGGCCTATATATATATATATATTTTCTACATATTACAATTAGTAACTCTATTAAATATAGTCTATAAAATTGATAAATAAACCTTTGAAACTCCTTTCATTTAATTTTCATTTCATTTGTTTGTCTCAAACATTAAAATGTACAAAAACAGAAACAGCAAAGAATAATCATAATAGCACAAAAAACACCCAAAAGTAAACTTGACAAAAGAAACACAAATGCTAACAATATATAATTCTTCAAATAGAAACATCGAAATTTGAATATTTAAAAATATGTCTATAAAACAAGCATTATTTAAAAGGAATTTAAAATATTCAGTTCATGCAATAAAATTTATCTAAAATAAATTGAGTTTTAAAATGTCAACAAATTTAAAGCACCCAAATAAACAAGTGATCAAACAATTTAATAAAAGATATAAAAATGTATGCCGTTGCACTTAACAGAATTTTAAAAAACATGATTAATTACAAAATTTTAAATGAATGAGATTGAAAATGTAAAATGTGTTGTTAAAATGATTAAAGCTCAAATTTACAATTTAAATATTAAAATTTAAAATTAATTCTAATTTAAGAGTTAGCATAATTTTTATTCAGATTGTTAAGAAAATGTTTGCAACTAGTATCAAGGAGAGAATTCAGCAGGTAATGTGTCCCATAGTCTAGAAAATGAATGAAAAATTGAATATATAAAATTTATAGTATTTGTCCTCTCAAAGGAATGAAAAAATTTAAGACTGTATGCCACACATTAATAGAAAATATGAGAAAATGTCAAGGTGATATAAACAATATAGACACTTGCAAACAAAGGAGATGGAAATCAGATCAAATCTATATGCCACACATTAATAGAAATATATGAGACAATGTCAAGGTGACAAGTCAAGGAGATCCCAAGTTTGAAAACCAAAAAATAGTGAGATTTTTTCGTGAAGCGATCGCCTCCTGTAGTGACGCGCTGTGACGCCTTACGACGTGCTGTGCAACATGAAAGTATTACACAAAATGAAGAAAACAAACAAATTTCATTAATTTGTTTACTTTTATTTAACAGTTTTACATTTGTTTACATATTGCAGTTGGCCTATATAAATTTATAAATATTATTATTTATTTAGAATTTTGCTAGTAAAGCATTCTTGGCAGCAGTCAACAAGGCTTTGCTTGGTTCATTGGCATATTAGAGGCTATGGCTGAGATTTACTACATCTCTTCAAAGAACATAGAATTCTAGGCAAAAGGCTGATTGCATTTTATAGGAGATGTGTATAAGAGACAGACCCAACACAACACACATACCCTGCAGTGCAGATAGAGCCTAGGCCTACATGTATTTCGGGATTGATATTAAAATAAACTTCATTTTTCGGAAGACTACTTAGTATCAAAACCTACTAACTATGATTCTTTTAGTATTGTTATTAAAGAACTGAAGTTTACTTGAAAGAAAGAGTATTTTTTATGCACCGATTCTACAAAGTTCCAAATCTTTGCGGCGAAAAAAACTTGGGGCATCCATTGCATGTGATTTCTAATTTTGTTAATTTGTTGAAATTTATTTACTCAACTGACAGCCATCTCATTGATTGAGGTCAGCGCGGATGAGAAAGATCGTAACATGGAGGATAAACAAGGCTCTGCCACGGATCTGGGCCTGCCTTGCGATGGAGTTGTTATTTTGATAAACAACTTAAATAACAACTCCCTGGTCTTGTTTACGACATTTTAAGGCTGAGCGAGCGACAAAGTATATTAGCTTAAGATAAGAAATTTTGTTTCATTGCTCTATGACATCGTGGAAATCACATTTTTCGTGAAATTTTCGGGATATTTTTAAAAAATCGGGAGATTATTACTAAAAATCGGGAGGGCGGGAGACAGCATAAAAAATCGGGAGAACCCGCGATTTTTCGGGAGACTTGGGATCTCTGAGGTGATATAAGCAAAATAGACACTTGCAAACAAAGGAGATGGCAATCAGATCAAAACTATTTTTAATTGAAATTAAATCATTTTTAGTTAGATTATCATCATAAGAAAAATAACAATTTTTAGATGAAAACAAGTCCTTGTAGCCCTTCTCTGTATACTCTCAAGCTTATGTATGTAGCCAGATTGATACACCATATTCAAGTAAAGACAGACAAGACTTGTGTAGAGTGACAGCTGGGTTGTTAAAAGAAATTAGACGTTTAATAAATGCATAAAAACGCAAAGATTTGGTAGAAACAGCATTGACAATGGTCCAAGCAGCCAAGGTTATGAGTAATAGTAAGTTTTCATGGTATATTTAATTAACTGAAGATTGAGTGATTCTCATCATTTTACATTTAGACGAATTAAGGCGCATACCATTGTTTTTGCTCCATTTATTAACATTGCTTTGGTCATTTTGAAGCATCGTTTCATCGTTATGTGATCTGATGGCACGGTATAAGACTGTATCGTCAGCATAAGGAAATATAAGACTTAACAATATCAGGTAAATCAAGAACAAATAAATTAAACATGATTTATCCCAAAACAGACCCTTGTGAAACTCCAGACATTAAATTTGATGAATAGGAGGAAGCACCCCGAAAATTAACTTTTTGAATACGGTTGTATAAGTATGACCACAAATAACATAATTATGAAGCTTGTTTAGAAGAATGGAGTGATTATCTGTGTCTTAAATTGTCTTATTTTTTTGCCCCCGGAACTCTTTCAAAACATTTTGAGCGACGCCTGGCCATGCCCATTTTACTCTCATCGGGAACATCGTGGCACCACCTCTGCTTGAAATTAACCCACACAAGCTTAGTTATAGGCCTAGCATAACTAATAACATTGAAGATCACCATTATTTATTATATAAGTGATGAACATTTTTTGAATAAGATGATGAGAAGGAAATATGCTAAGCTGTCTAGGGATCGACTGAACCTTAGCGAAGTCTTCACCACAGGGACTCGCACATGTATTTCTCAATTTTTTAGGCTTCTAGTCTTGATATTGATTTTTCTTTAACAAAGGTTTCGATAGAAAAAAAATCAAAAATGAAAAAAAAATGAAAAGAATGCCAAGACTTACAGCACAACATTGGGGAATGTCAGATGGATCAAGTACCTCCTGACCAAAGTATCCACTAATTAGTGTATATAAAACACAAACATAGTGACTCTAAAGATTTTTGAAGATTCAACATTTTGATTTCAAGCTGTTACTGAACACATTATGTAAGTAAGCTACATAAGAATATGTCTTGTGTTCATGATGAGATAATGGTCAAATATATAGTAAATAATGCTGATGCACTTTCTAAACCTATTACTCACAATGTTATAAATATATATCTTAAAAGTGGAATATTTCTTGAACAGTTGAAATTAACAAATACTGTCCCTGTGTATAACAAGTTCTCGTAATCTTGAAAGCTCCAATGAGGGCAGTATAATAGAGGCAGTAGATTGTGTTGGCACACAAAAAAAAAAATGTATTAATCAATCAAACAATCAATCAGCCGAGTATTCCTAGAACTCCTTCAAAAATTCACAGTAACTATGGCTCGTCATAGATGCATGAATGTAGCTTAGGTGTGAGAGGTATCTGGTTCAATTCCAGGACGAGCCCGTTATTTTTTTTTCTCTAAAAATGAAAAAAGACCTAATATTCAGCAAAAGAAAATCTATCAGTCAGCCGAGTAACCTCCTAGATCTCCTTCAAAATTACATAGTAACTATGGCCTGGGTGTGAGATATAGTACCTATGACTTGTTAGTCTAGAGGCATAAATGTAGCTGAGGGTGTGAGATATAGTACGTATGACTCATTAGTCTAGAGGCATGAATGCAGCTGAGGGTGTGAGATATAGTACCTATGACTCATTAGTCTAGAGGCATGAATGTAGCTGAGGGTGTGAGATATAGTACCTACTGTATGACTCGTTAGTCTAGAGGCATGAATGTGGCTGAGGGTGTGAGATATAGTACCTATGACTCATTAGTCTAGAGGCATAAATGTAGCTGAGGGTGTGAGATATAGTACCTATGACTCGTTAGTCTAGAGGCATGAATGTGGCTGAGGGTGTGAGATATAGTACCTATGACTCGTTAGTCTAGAGGCATGAATGTGGCTGAGGGTGTGAGATATAGTACCTATGACTCGTTAGTCTAGAGGCATGAATGTGGCTGAGGGTGTGAGATATAGTACCTATGACTCGTTAGTCTAGAGGCATGAATGTGGCTGAGGGTGTGAGATATAGTACCTATGACTCGTTAGTCTAGAGGCATGAATGTGGCTGAGGGTGTGAGATATAGTACCTATGACTCGTTAGTCTAGAGGCATGAATGTGGCTGAGGGTGTGAGATATAGTACCTATGACTCGTTAGTCTAGAGGCATGAATGTGGCTGAGGGTGTGAGATATAGTACCTATGACTCGTTAGTCTAGAGGCATGAATGTGGCTGAGGGTGTGAGATATAGTACCTATGACTCGTTAGTCTAGAGGCATGAATGTGGCTGAGGGTGTGAGATATAGTACCTATGACTCGTTAGTCTAGAGGCATGAATGTGGCTGAGGGTGTGAGATATAGTACCTATGACTCGTTAGTCTAGAGGCATGAATGTGGCTGAGGGTGTGAGATATAGTACCTATGACTCGTTAGTCTAGAGGCATGTGGGCACTACTTTAGTAAGTTGGGCACCAGTTAAGTGTGTTCTGTAGTAATCAATTAATATTAGCTAACTCTGACACTAATTTGTTATATAAATTGATAATAATTGATTATAGATAACTTGTGCACTACTTTAGTAAGTTGGGCACCAGTTAAGTGTGTTCTGTAGTAATCAATTAATATTAGCTAACTCTGACACTAATTTGTTATATAAATTGATAATAATTGGTTATAAATAACGTGGGCACTACTTTAGTAAGTTGGGCACCAGTTAAGTGTGTTCAGTAGTAATCAATTAATATTAACTAACTCTGACACTAATTTGCTATTTAAATATTGAATCCCAACACGATGGCGTGTATTTCAATACTTGGAGTATGTATTATACTTTCTTATCTGAGATTAATCAGTGGACCTTTCGGTTTTTGTTATGTTTAATGTACAAAAGTATTGTTGCTGCATAATTTAACTACGGTATTGCAATATTGTGGGGCAGATCAAGCCAAAATCAAAACAATAAACTACAAGTGCTGCAAATCAGGGCAGCTAAAATAATTACAAAAGTAAGAAAATATGACTCAAGTACACAAGCCCTGCAAAACTTATACTCTACTGGAATAAACTTGAAGACCAGTTGTATTAAAATGAGGCTATTACTTTGTATAAGATATTCCATAATCAAGCACCACCATACTTAAACACATTATTTACCCCTAAAGGCCAACTCAGACAGCGTTGGCCGACGCAGCCCGACCCGATTTATCATTGGGGACAGCCGTAAGCCGTCGTGAGAAATATTAAACACGTTTAATATTCTACTACGCGACTGCCCCCGACGCACACCATCGCGTCTGCGTTCAACTCACACAGACCCGACGTGACAACAAATCGCGTCGGGCTGCGTCGGCCGACGCTGTCTGAGTTGGCCTTAAGGAAGAAAAATACCATACAAGATCTAATGATGTCTTGTGTTTGGAAAAACCCAAAGCGGAGTACAAAAGCGAAGTTTTCCGTATCGTGGTGCCAAATTATGGAATAGTCTTGAAAGTGCAGTTCAAAATGCAACAAATGTTTATTCATTTAAACAGGTGTAAGTTTTTGAATTTGTTTATGTTTACTTTTATAAAATTTGTTTAGTTAATGGTGTTAATCTTTTTAGTATTTCATCAATATCACAGCCTTGTAGAAAAACACCTTCGGGTGATACAAGCTTTTCCGTGTTTAAACAAAGCCTTTATTATTATTATTATTGTTATTATTATTATTATTATTATTATTATTAGTGGTGTACCGCAAGCATTAATTATATATTATTATTATTATTATGTAGGTATGTCAGATCTAGTTCAAGTTTGAATATCTTCAAAAGAAAACCAAAAATCCTTTACTTTTGTGATTATAAGCGTGACATAAATAGATGCTTCCTTAATAATTCTATAATTTGTGATCTTGTATAATTTCTTAAGATGGTTCTGTGTTATATTCCATGTCTTGTTATTTCCTTATTTTAATTTTATCAAAATAATTTTTTTGACTTTGACATTCTATAGTTGTTTAGTGAAACATTTTGATAATTTAGGGGTCTGTAGCGTAAGTGCTGGAGCCGACGGTAATTTCATACGGGGTGGGTGCCCTTCTAAAACCTGTCACCTCCTGTGGCATCCTTTTTCCTCAACATTGTAATTTTTATTCAAGGTACTGTGTTTTCATTACTTTCATTCTTATGTTATGATTTATTTATTTATTTGCTCATTTTCAAGAATAATAATTTTTTTTGTATAGAACATTTTTTTTAGAATATAAGACCAAAAAAATAAATTGTTTGTTTGCCTTTCTTTAAAAAAAAAAAGATAAATAGGGGCAGGTAAATAAAAAAAATTTTATTTATGTTTTTTTTTAAATATACATCAGATGGAATAAAAATAACCCACAGAGGCCTAGAATGGCAATATCTTACATCAGACAACAACTTTAGACTAATTTGTAGGGCATCTGGCCAAAAATAAAGATAAATTCACTCACATTTTTTTTTTATTTGTAAAAAAAAAAAGCTACAAAAAAACTTTTTTAAAGTTTTTGGAGGAGGGAAACAAACAATTTTATGTTGCTTAATGCATAGAAAGGTTCATGAATAGCATGTAGACTATGAAGACAAAGCAAAAGGAAAAATTTAAGAGAGGAGTTTGTTTATGGCATGTCTGAATGCCTAAGGCAAGAAGGGGAAAGAAAGAAGACTTCATCTATGCATAAACATTTATAATTTTTTAGAAGTGTAACAGAAAATAATTAAAAACAGAGCAATCATAATGATAATATTATAATCACGTCTTATTTTATTTTTACATCATATATTATGGTCAAATTAAAATGAGGAAATTAAGGTATGTCAAGCACTTGAGTGAATATCTTATTTATATCAGTAAACAATGTAAAAGGTACAATAAATAAGAGTGGCAATAGCTCAGATGGCTAAACTGGTGGTACAGTAGCCACTGTGCACGCTGAATCATGGAGATCTTTAGGTTCCTGGTTCAATTCCCATCGCTGCTCTCCTTGTGTTTCAGCTGGAGGGCTGAAATGCAGGTTACGATAGCGTACACCATATTTCAGATGAGATGTTTAAGCCATTGGTTCTGTGTGCATTATGGCCCATGTGCGTGTTAAAAAATGCAGTCCACTTTTCGGAAAAGAGTAGTATTTTAGTAGCAGAAGAACCCCACTGGGAAACAAGTCTTCGAACTTAGTGGGTTATCCTTTGTGTTGATCAATAAATAGTGAATTTAGTCGTTAAATTTAAACAAACAATTTTTATTTTGCTTTTACGTGATTGGTAATATTTGGATATATTTGTTTTTCTCACCAGCTCTTCAACATATCATGTGAACAATATAAAAAGGATTTACCTTTCTGGTAATAGAGCAACTGATCCATACAGCATCTCAAACTGCTGCAGAATACTTCTGCTAAGATCATTACAGAAACAAAGATATTTGAATTCATCACTCCAAAAAAAAGAAAAAAAAAAGAAAAGCCCCAAAAAAGCTTCATTAGCTGGCTGTTTCTTTCAGGAGCATCTTGCTTATTAGTTTTAAAACCTGGAAAGGTGAAGGTTTAGGGTATCCCATGCAGGTGTGGCAGCAGGATTTGCCTGACGGGGTCCAATGTCCACTTTCCCACATAATACCTGACATTCAAAAATTGTTGGGTTTTTTTTCAGGGTTTGCAAGTTTCAACAAAACAAAAAGTCAATCCATGGGACATGCTGGAGGCCAACAAAAACCCAGCTCCACTCTCTTGGCCCTGGTTTGGTGCTGTCCGCATGGAACGCAAACCACTGAAGTACATGGAGCAGTACCGATTGAACCTCTACCATGACCATGACCACACCAAACCTGATGCATATTACTTGCAACCGCCACAGCTACCTGCTGATGAGGAACCACCACCAGCACCGTCGCAGGAGGTTGAGAAGCCACCCGCTGATGCAGAGGTTACACAAGCAGACACTAAAACCGCCACTGAGTCAAGCAAGAAGAAACGGCAGACAAAGCGGAGAAAGGTCACTACAAATGCTCATAATAGAGATGTGAGTTTTGTGTATTTTTTGTATTCAGTCATCACAATGATCATGATGATGTGATATCACAAAACATGGAGAGAGTCACAAAATTGTGTATCTTGTTTGTTGCTTACATGCTGAATTTCAAATTGATTATTTCTTAAAATTGATATATTTTAGTTTCCTGTTAATCAGCATATGCCTTTCCAAGAGAGACCACCATTCATGCCGACATATTACACCCAGCAAAATGCACCGTTCTACCCCCAGCAGCAACAACTACCTCCTGGTGAGTACATATGTAGTAATTATATTTATCATTTAAACAATCATGTACAGTAGTAACATGTTATTGTAAATGAAAATCACATAATAGCTTTAAAGATACACATTGTGTTGAGCTAGAAACTGTGATGCATGCAGTGGCAAATCCAAGAATTTGAAATAGAAGGGGTACAGGCAGGAACTTGCACACTTGAATGGTCTACACCACTTTTGTCCCACCATAAGTAGTAAGAAAATTTAGGATTATGGCACCTTTCGATGGCCAGAAATGGCACTGTCATATTTAATTTTGAATATAGGTTTGTGTGTTTTCTCTATTTTTTATTTGTAGTTTTGAAAAATTTAGCAGGCTGGTTATTGGTCTGAAGCTGGTTTGTCTGTTGATCCTGTGTGTCTTCCTTTCAGTGCTGGGCCCCCTCGAATCCGCCAATGGATTGTCTGTTGATCCTGTGTGTCCTTTCCTTGAGTTATGTACAGGGGCGTATCCAGGGGGAGCCGTGGGAGCTGCGGCTCCCCCCCCCCCTCGGTGCACAGTGTTAAAAATTTAAAGCTTGTTCTTGAGCCAATACAAATTCTTTCCTGGGATCACTCAAAACGAATACTTCTAAAACGTAAATATGCATCAGTATATAAGTTATACATTGGCCTAATAGAACACATATGCCTAAACATGATTTTTAAAAATCTTAAATCCATAAATCTCAGGCCAGTTCTTTTAAGATACTGTATAGAAATGCGATACTTTATGGTTCAGTTTCGTTTTTATCATTTTGCAAGTTTCTTTAAAGTTTTGTTTAATAATACTACTACTAATAGTAATAATAATAACAACAATGATGATGATGATGATGATGATGATGACGATAGTAATGACGATAGTAATAATTGATAATAATATTAATAGCAATGAAAAGTGAAGAAAATTGTCCTAAATGCGAAAAAAAGTTGTGATTTGTTGATTATAATTATTATAGTACTGTATAGTTAAAACTTAGTAAGCTATAGTTAGGCCTAAGTTGTCCTGGATATTAAGTAGATCCCTGATTATGAGAAATTTGTTGGCGTTTCAGTCAGTATATAATGGTAATGTGATGATGATAAATTTTACTATATAAAAGTGTCATATCCAACCATCTACAGGTAGTATTTCCTTAAATTTTTGCACGCACCCCCTACTGTCAAATCCTGCATCCCCCAGCTAAGTACATTTTGCTAATCACACCGCTCACCTCACACTTTGGGCGATCTACAATGCCGGTCTTGAAAGATGAAAGGTTTGAGGTACTATTTCCTCAAATTTTCAAACCTCAGCCCCAAACATGGTGGGGCTGAGGTGGTTGTGAAACCATGTTTTTGAAGTAGGCCTATGTAAAGTACATACTCAAAGACAATGTTTTTAAGCTTTGTTTTCTATGGTATATCACACACACATTAATGAGATCTCTATGGTTATCAAAAATCCCTAATAAAAGATAATGACAATTTTTTTTTTGGCTCTTCAGTTTGACTAATATTGATGTGATGATGATGAATTTTACAAAAAGTGTCATTTCTGGCCATCTAGAGGTACTATTTTTCTCACCTCACTAATTTTCTCACCTCAGCTTTAACCATGGTGGGTCTGAGGTGGGTGTCGGCTCACAAAATGTCCTCCCCCTCCACCTTTCAAAAAAGATCTGTGCCCTTCCCTGGGTATGACATTAAACTCCATCGAGTCGGCTTCTGATATGTGACTGCTGAGGCGAGGGTCCATACATTTGTTTTTTCGTGATTATGACTATTCTGGATAAAGAATGTTTTGAGCAGAGGTGGATTCAAGGCCCATCCCCCCCTCCCCTCTCTTCATTTTTTTAAGGAAAAAAAAAGGTAAAATATATTCAAATTTAAGTGTGAGAGTGTAATTTCCGGCCATCTAGAGATGCCCTAATCATAACTTTTCTCACCTCAGCCCCACCTTGGTTGGGGTGGTTCCTCGGTCTGTCAAAATCCCTCCTGGTTCACCTCTCTTTCGAATTCCTGGATCTGCCACTGTTAATTATATAATTATTCTTGCGCTTATTTATAATGCATCTGTTGCAATTTTTACTCAAAATGGACCTAAGAACGTTCAGAGTGCGCTACTTCGCAGAGGGATTTGCCCCCTTGACCCCGTCAGGGTCCTACGTAATTCACATAACAGCTCCCCCCCCCCCCCCCTTTCAAAATCCTGGGTACATCCCTGGTTATGTATCCATTGAGTCTTTGTGGATGAACTGTACACAGTCCAGTACTGATTGCTTCTCATTTGTATTTTGAAATTTTTTGTTTCTTTTATGAGAGGGATCTTGACAAAATTAGTCTTCTTTATGCCAGGTCAATTAGATACATTTAAGAAAATACATATGAAAAATTGGGTTTCAATGTTCCTGATAAGTTAAACATGTTTATTTCACAGTAGCAAATGTTTTGAGTTGATTTACATAATACTTAAAGGTTCATTTTGTAAAATTTGTCAGTTGTTTATAAAAGTTATTTTCAACAATATGTTTTCAGACATCTGAATTGGAAAATGATCTTACTCCGGTTGTACACAACATAAGAACCTGACTCAAAGCTTATATAGTCATCTATCTAAATATATCAAAAACTTGTTTTAATTTATGGTACAAGACTCAATTTGTCATGACAGCTCACGTATATGTTCGTGTCATCAAAATACCATTTATGTGCTATAACGACTTCAGTTCTATTACAATTAACTTTTACTTTGACCTAGGAGGGCCTGGCCGTGGTGACCGTGCAGTAAATGTAGGACCTGGTAATTCAAAAGCAGTGTTGAATAGTATGCTTCGGGCTAGACAGCCCAATAACCAACCCAGTCAACAAGTACAGGTAAAGCAAGACTTTTAGTACACCTTTTTTTGTGAACCTGCTGCTCATATGATAATGGTAATTTAAATTAAAATGTAAACGAACTCTATATTGTGAATATTTATCTTGGTAAACTTTATATAAATTAGTGAGTTGTAAAAAATACATTCAAGCTTTGCACACACTCTGTATTCAAGTTCCTGTACTGAGTAATCTCAAATTCTCTGAATTTCCCTTACAGATGCAACTCTTTCAACGTCGTCAACGGCAGATGGTACGGCAACAGCTGCAGCAACATGCCATTCGCAACCCTGATGCCATGTTCCAATACAAGAACCAAGATACTAATATACACCATGTAAACCAAACTCAGGGGGTAAGACATTAGTTAATCAGTCAGCTGATAAACCAATCGATCAATTGTGATTGACTTGTAAAATACATGATGCTCTGCACATTTTTCCACCCCTTTCTTACCTTCCGCCTATCTACAACAATAATACCAATTCAATTTTAACAATTAATCAAGGCCACTTTGATTAAAGTCTGATTATTGCCAAATTTAGCACAGATCTATAATTTAGACTGAACTAGAAAGAGGCTAGCTTGACTGCCTAGTGACTTCTGATACCATTGTAAACTGACCATGAAAACATTTCACGAACACCAACAGTGGTCGTATTGATCCTCAAAAATATTGACAAAATCAAATACATTACAATACGCACAATTTAATAATGAGGTTTGATTACAATAATAATAGTACAAATAAATAATGCTATGTTATACAGTACAAATAAATAATGCTATGTTATAATACAGTACAAATATATAATGCTATGTTATAATACAGTACAAATATATAATGCTATGTTATAATACAGTACAAATATATAATGCTATGTTATAATACAGTACAAATATATAATGCTATGTTATAATACAGTACAAATAAATAATGCTATGTTATAATACAGTACAAGATGACATAAGCCTATTTAAAAGTTTTGTGTTTGAGAGAAAAGAACTACTGTATTGTTGATATATTACTGTAAATTAAGCATATATTTTAATAGTTTAAAATATTTTGTAGAGTTGGTAGACATTAAATTGTAGATGACATTTATGATATTCAAAATGATGCTGAACTATTGTGATGACTTTTTAGTGTCTTTGATCTTTTTTGGGCAATCTAACATTCCTGTGCAATTTGACATTTAGATGACAGGCTATAATTATAACAACCAGATGATGCAGCACCAAACAATGCCAGACCCTAACCAAGCTGCAAACTTCACTCAAGGCTATGGGATGTCGGGACAGACAGGCCTGATGCAGACCATGAGAACACAGCCCCAGCAACCAGCAGCATATATGAACCCTCAACGTACAATGCAGCCAGCAAACAGGTATTTAAAATTTCTTTCTTTTTTTTATAATTTGCCTGAGAGCATGCTTTGTAAAAAGTACACTTTCATTGTTTGCACGTTTGATCGATGACAATAAAATAATCTTGATTCTTCATAGGTTCTTCTAAAACTTTTTTAAAACATTTACTCACAGAATGCAAGACCATATGCATCGGTCAGTTATGCACCAAGGGATGGGAACTATGCAGCAGCAACAGCCGCAGACTACACGACAGAACCCTGGTTACATGGCTATGCAGACGGATAGACAGAGGCAGCAGCTTTTGCACCAACAACAACAGAAGTTCCTTAGGCAGGGTAACATGTCGCAGGCCAATGACCAGCAACAGACTGCAGCCCTTGTACGCCATCTCCAGAGCCAGATGCCAAGAGAAATGGGCCAGCAACCGGGGCATAATCCTTATCCATACTGATGCTTATTTTATTCACAAAGTCAACGACAAATCCAGGATATGAAAAAACATGCTTTGTACAGGAAGGCTGGATTAAAGTTTACTGATTTGTTTTGGCAGTACCAGGGAGGATGGAGCCATGTTCCTTTCTCGTGTCTACATTTACAAGAGTTTACATGCAAAGGGTTAAACAAGTTCATTCTCACATGTTTTGTGGTTAATTGATCATTTAGCCTTCTCATATACCAGTGGTTCTCAACCTGTTTGCATTCGCGGACCCCTCGGGACATGTCAAAAATTCTCACGTACGACCATGTCTAAGTTTTATTCATTGTCGATAATCTAACAATAAGATTATAGATAGAAGATGATTTGCCACATACTGTAAGTACAATATTATACAGTGGAAGATCATGGAATTCGGAATAGAAACCACCTTAGCCCCACCATGGTTGACATTTCTATGTCTTATGGCACTCCTAGAATGCAGGAAATGGCACTGTCAGACTCATAATTTTGTAATATTTAGGGCAATTCATGGTTAATATTCCACCGATAAGTTGATAGATAGAAGATTCTCTACAAAAGTTTTAATTAAATTTAAATAGTGGTGGATCCTAGAATTCTAAATAGAATGGGGGGTCAGGAAGTCACAGATAGTGGCTTGATACCACCTCATTCCCATCATAGTTGGGGCTGAGGCAGGATTTTTTTTATGTCTGGCACTGCTAGATTGCCGGAAATGGCACTGTCATTTGAATGCAATTTTCTTTTTCTTTTTTCATTTTTTGCGGACCCCCAACTTTTTTTTGCAGTCCCCCAACTATTTTACAGTGGAAGCTACAGTAGGTTCGAAAGGACTATCGTATATACCATTAGGATCAATGGCTTAAGTCTTTTCTGAAACATGGTGGGTGCACATTTGTAGTTTCTTTGAATGAAAGCAACATCATTATCAACACAATCTATTAATGTTCTACTCCAGTAGAATTACGTTTTTGTAACCTAGTCTTGATCATGCAATAACACATTTTGTCAGTTATTATGTGTTGTCGTTCAACAAGATGTGTATAAGAGACAGGGGTAACATGTCGCAGGCCAATGACCAGCAACAGACTGCAGCCCTTGTACGCCATCTCCAGAGCCAGATGCCAAGAGAAATGGGCCAGCAACCGGGGCATAATCCTTATCCATACTGATGCTTATTTTATTCACAAAGTCACTAATCATAAATTTTCTTCCTGTCTCTTATACACATCTAGATGTGCGTTTAATGGAATTATATAATATGGTATTAGCTATTATTTGAAAATTAGAATACAAATGTTGTTTCCTTGAAACCAGTGGTGGCTTCAATAATTTGCCCACAAGGTGTCCGACAGGGCGTCAAAACCAAGGGGAGAATAGAAACCTCTGGTAGGGTTTGCAGGCAGAGGTTTAATTGCCTGGAATGGCCCAAATTTTGCTATTAGATTACAGTATTAGTGATTTCTAATCAAAATAGCATTATTTGGATAGACAACTTACATTTTTGTGTCCGATGATCTCGTCAAGTACTGTCCGACAGGGCAATGAGCTCACCACCACTGCTTGACAGATGTAAAAATAATAATTCTTTGCATATACCATTAAAATTGACTGCTAAGGTAAAGATACTGAAGATTCCTATTCGTATGTTATTTTTTTAATCTGTCTAATGTGGAAGTTGTCATTTTAATGTTTTAATTGTTGAGCTTTGCCATAGACAGTCTGTCTGCTTAGAAGAAATTGTATAATAAACATAGTATATCCACAACATAGTGTTTTTTTTCTTAGACCAATAAATTAATTTAATTCCTTAAATATGGGTGTGATGATGTCATCATGCCCATCATAGTTGGGGCTGAGGCAGATTTTTTTTTTTTTTTATGTCTGGCACTGCTAGATTGCCAGAAATGGCACTTTCATTTGAATGCAATTTTCTTTTTCTTTTTTCATTTTTTGCGGACTCCCAACTTTTTTTTCGCTTGCCCTCTGTGGTTCAAATTAGACTTCCATCTTGGAATTCAACACACATTAATAGAAGCTCACTTATTATTTTTATATTTTGCCCAATGCCATTTTTCTGGCGTTTGTAAAAACAGTGGATCTAGAGCAGGACACATGGTCACATTTGCTATTTTTTAAATCTTTCAAAACTGAATTTTCTTGGAAAATAGAAGCTACAATCGTGGGCCTTTCAGCTAAGCCTCTTCCCTTTTTATTGTTGCAAAAACAAACAGATGCGTTTGTGGGACAACATGTGTGTTTGTGAGACAACATGTGTGTTTGTGAGACAACATGTGTGTTTGTGAGACAACATGTGTGTTTGTGAGACAAACAGATGCGTTTGTGAGACAACATGTGTGTTTGTGAGACAACATGTGTGTGAGACAAACAGATGCATTTGTGGGACAATATGTGTGTTTGTGAGACAACATGTGTGTTTGTGAGACAACATTTGTGTTTGTGAGACAACATGTGTGTTTGTGAGACAAACAGATGCGTTTGTGGGATAGCATGTGTGTTTGTGAGACAACATGTGTTTTTGTGAGACATGTGCGTATTCCTAGCACTGTTCTGATTTGACAGCTGTAAACTTTAAAGGACACTAAAAAAGTTTATATCTTACTCAGCGGTGGCACCAGAAATTTGCCGACTATGTGTCTGACATGTCCGAAGAAGCGGTCTGAGCCAAGGGCAAGGGGAGTTTTTATGGCTTAGTTGGCAAATTGGCAGTCAAAATAACATTATTTGCATAGGAAATTTGTTTTTATAATTATTTTTGACACAGAAAGGTCCACTGATTAATCTCAGATAAGACAGTATAATACATACTCCAAGTATCGAAATGCACGCCATCGTGTTGGAATTCAATATTTCGACATTAATTATGACATTAATTCCTGATGATGACACATAATTAATGTTGAATATTTAATCCCGACACAATGGTGTGCATATCGATACTTGGAGTATGTATTATACTATCTTATTTTTGACACATTGTTTAAAAAAAAAGAAAATAAATAATATATAAAAAAAGAAAAACAAAATAACAGTGAAAAAGAAAAAAAATATATATATATATATAGGCCTATATAGGCACTATGAATAATTGAGGAGCACTTCTTTAAATTAAGATCTCTCTCATAGTCATACCTGGCAATGTTATGTCCACTGATGCCATGGCCTCAGGGACGGCTCCCTCCCTATCTTTGTACACATTGTACACAGAGTTTAATTTGTTAAGCTCTTGTTCTTGTTAGCCAGTACAAATTCTTTCCTGGGATCACTCAAAATGAATACTTTTAAAATATGTAAACATACATCCGCACACGTTATACATATGCCTAATAGGCCTACAATAGTTATAACACATAGACCTAAGCTTGATTTTTTTTACACAAATTACAATACAAATTGAACATGGTATGTTATAAATCATTTTGCTGTCCTACGCTATGTGATATTTATAGTCAACTCCGAAGACGGCATGTCACTTTTTTTGCAATAAAACATTAAAGCAAAACTGGGAGTTTGGAGTTGATTGAAATGCTCTACAATTTCTAATTGACTCCTCCTACTATAGGTTTGTAACCCGTACTGTGATAGAAACCCACCATAGCCGTCTATCAATAAAAGTCACCGGCTAACCTGATAGTCACCCAGTGGAATATTCGTGTTAAATTAATCAATTTTTCACTATACACAATAATGCAAACATTAATATGTTTGGGTTTATAACAGCTACAGCTCAGGGGTTGGATTTATCAAAAATCATCTTAAATTCGTCTTAAATCCATAAATCCCAGGCCATGTCTTTTAAGATATTGATATTGTATAGTTCAGGTTTTTTTTTTTAATCGTTTTGCAAGCTTTTATAAAGTTTTGTTAAATAATACCACTACTACTACTAGTAGAAGCAGTAGTAGTAGCAGTAAGAGTAGCAGTAGTAGTAATAATAATAATAATGACGATGGTGATCATGATAATAGATAATACTAATAATATAATAATAATAATAATAATTATAATAATAATGACGACGGTGATAATAATAATAATGACGATGGTGATAATGATATTATAGATAAGATAATAATGCTAATAATATTAAAAAGTGAAGAAAATCGTGCTAAAGGTGGAAAAGGCTATAGCTAGGCCTAAGTTGTCCTGAATATTGAGTAGATCCCTGATAAAAGATCATGAGAAATTTGTTGGCGCTACATTTTGACTATATAATGGTGATGTGATGATGATGAATTTTACTATATAAAAGTGTCATTTACGGCCATCAAATTTTTCGCACCTCAGCCCCAACCATGGTGGGGCTGAGGTGATTGTGAAATCACGGCTTTGAAGTATGTAAATTACGTACTAAAAGACAGTGTTTATAAACTTTATTTCCTATTGTACATCACACATAATGGTTGCCGAAAATCCCTGATAAAAGATCATGAGAAATTTGTTGGCGCTTTATCTTGACTATATATTGAATGGTGATGTGATGATGATGAATTTTAAGCTACATAAAGTTTCATTTCTGGCCATCTAGAGGTACTAATTCCTCAAATTTTCGCACCTCAGCCCCAACCTCACTAAATATCCCCTACACCTTTCAAAATAGATCTTCACCCTTCCCTGAGCACCTGACTCAGAGTATGGCTTGGTGACTGCTAGCGAGGGTGCATAAATATGTTTTCAGGATGTGATCGGTTTTTCATGATTATGACTTCAGTATTTTGGATAAAGAATGTTTTGAGCAGTGGCGGATTCAAGGACACCCACCCCCATCCCCTCACTGCTTTTTTTAAATGCAAAAAACAAAGGAAATTATATTCAAATTTGAGTCTGAGAGTGTAATTTCCGGCCATCTAGAGGTGCCCTAATCATAAATTTTCTTCCCTCAACCCCAACCATGGTGGGGCTGAGGTGGGTAGTTCCTCATTCTGTGAAATCTCTCCCTGGCTCATGTCTTTCAAATTTCTGGATCTACCACTGTTCAGTTATTGTAATTATTGTTAGCCTTACTAATATTTATGATGTGTCTTGCAATTTTTCACTTTATCTTCTCAAATCAGTCCTAAAAACGTTCAGAGTTCGATTCCCCATAGACCCCAGCCGTAGGGAAGGGAATGCCCCACCCCCGGTCGGTACTAGGTACCTCGCATAACGACTCCCACCCTATCAAAATCATGGCTACCTCCCTGACTGATGCAAATCGGCCATATGTTTTCTATTAGAGAAAAAGGATAGGAAGACAAGTAAGTTTGTGCACATTGTTTTATTTTATATATATATATATA